CTTACAGATTCCAAAGCAAACCCCAAACAAGATCAACTCAAGGAAATCCATTCTAAAACACAGTAAGTACACTTCTGAAAACTAAAGCCAAATTTAAAAAAATCGAAAGCAGTCAAATTATTTTTTTTTAAAATTAAAAGAAATTCTGCAGTTCAAAAAGTACAATAACCAGAATAAAAAACAACTCACTAGAAGCCAAGAGCAGTGGCTCATGCCTGGGAAGTCAAGGCAGATGGATCACAAGGTCAGGAGCTCAAGACAAACCTGGACAACATAGTGAAACCCTGTCTCTACTAAAAATGCAAAAAAAAAAAAAAAAAAAAATTAGCCAGGCAAGGTGATGCACACCTGTAGTCCCAGCTACTTAGGAGGCTGAGGTAGGAGTATCACTTGAACCCAGGAGATGGAGGTTTCAGTGAGCCAAGATTCCACCACTGCACTCCAGCCTGGGCAACAGAGCGAGTCTCTGTCTCAAAAATTTAAAAATTTTTTTAAAAAACTCACTAGTGGGGCTCAGCAGCAGATTTGAACATCCAGAAGAAAGAATCAGTAAACCTGTAGATAGCTCAAATGAAACTATCTAGTCTGAATGGAAAAGAAATAAAAAAGAATGAAGAAAAAAGGCAGAGCCTCGGAGATCCATAATATACCATGAAGCCTGTCAATACACACATAATGGGAGTCCCAAAAGGGGGGTGAAGGCAGAAAAAATATAGAGAGAAATAATAGCTGAAAATTCCCCAAATTTAGTGCAGAACATTAATTTACATATCCAACAAGCTCAACAAATTCCAAGTAGGATAATCGCAGAGATCCACACCTAGACACATCATAATCAAACTGTTAAAAGACAAAGACCGAGACTCTTGAAAGCAGCAAAAGAGAAGCAATTCATCCCATAAAAGAGAAGCAGTTCCTCCCATACAACAAAACCCAATGAGATTATCAGCTGTTTTCTCATCAAAACCATGGAAGCCAGAGGCAGTAAAATGTATGTACTCAAAATGCTGAAAGTAGAAGATAGTCAACCTAGAATTCTATACCCAGCAAAACTATTATACAAAAATGAATAAACTAAGATATTCTGGATAAACAAAAACTGAGAGAACTCATTACTAGCAAATCTTCCCTACAAGAAATACTAAAGGAAGTCTTTCGTGCTGAAGTAAATGAACACTAGATGAGTAACTTGAATCTACATACAAAATAAAGAACATCACTAAATGTAAATACATAGGTAATTATAAAAGACTGTATAAATCTATTTTAATTGTAACTTTTTTCACCTATACGATCTAAAAAACAATGCCAAAAGCAATAATTACAAATACATGTTGATGGGCACACAACGTATGATGTAATTCTTATGACAATTAATGTATAAAGAAGAAGGAGAGGCCAGGCGTGGTAGCTCATGCCTGTAGTCCCAGCACTTTGGGAGGCCTAGACGGGATGACCTGAGGTCAGGAGCTTGAGACCAGCCTGGGCAACATGGCGAAACCTCGTATCTACTAAAAAACACAAAAATTAGCCAGGCATGGTAGTACATGCCTGTAGTCCCAACTACTGGGGAGGCTGAGGCAGGAGAATTGCTTGAACCCAGGAAGTGGAGGTTGCAGTGAGCTGAGATCATACCACTGCCTCCAGCCTGGGCAACAGAGTTAGACTCTGCCTCAAAAAAAAAAAAAAAAAAAAAAAGTGGGGGAGACTAGAACTATATAGGAACGAAGTTTGTATACACTATTGAAATTAAGCTGTATTAAATCTATGTAGAGGAAATATTTAAGACAATTATATTACACATGAGGAAGATTAAAGGGATATAAAGAGAGATAAAGTTTCTATATTTCATTCAAACTGTTAAAATGACAACACCAGGAAAACCATCATAAATATTGTGTATATAATGAAATACCTAGAGCAACCATTTAAAAGGCTATGCAAAGATATACTCAAAAACACTAAAGATAAATCAAAATGGAATTTTAAAATATTAATCCCCAAGAAGATAGGAAAAAGAGGGAAAAGAAAAACCGAAATAACAAAACAGAAAACAAAAATAAAGTGGCAAATGGAAAACATACCAATAATTACATCAAATGTAAATGGTCTAAATACACCAATTAAAAGATATATTTTAAAAAATAGAATTGAGGGACAGGAGAGGTTGAGATTGGCAAAGTGGATTTAAAAACATGTCCCAGCCATGTGGCAGCTCACGCCTGTAATCCCAGCACTTTGGGAGGCTGAGGCGAGTTGATCACCTGAGGTCAGAAGTTCAAGACCAGTCTGGCCAATATGGCGAAACCTCATCTCTACCAAAAACACAAAAATTAGCCAGGTGTGGTGGTGAGTGACTGTATCCCAGCTACTTGGGAGGCTGAGGCAGGAGAATTGCTTGAACCCAGGAGGCGGAGGTTCCAGTGAGCAGAGATCATGCCATTGTACTCCAGCCTGGGTGACAAGAGCGAAACTTCATCTCAAAAAAGTAAAAAATAGGCTGGGTGTCGTGGCTCATGCCTGTAATCCCAGCACTTTGGGAGGCCGAGTGGGTGGATCACGAGGTCAAGAGATTGAGACCATCCTGGCCAACACGGTGAAACCCCATCTCTACTAAAAATACAAAAATTAGCCGGGCATGGTGGCACGTGCCTATAGTCCCAGCTACTCGGGAGGCTGAGGCAGGAGAATCACTTGAACCTGGGAGGAGGAGGTTGCAGTGAGCCGAGATTATGCCACTGCATGCTAGCCTGGCAACAGAGTGAGACCCCGTCTCAATGAATAAATAAATAAAAGTAATAAATAAATGTCCCAGCTAGAGTAGCTAAGAAACAAAACATAGCAATGATCAAACGCTGACAAGGACATGGAGAAACTATATCACTCATACATTGCTGTTCAGAATGTAAAAGGCTACAGCTACTCTGGAAAACAGTGTGGCAGTTTCTTTAAAAACTAAACATGAAAGTACCATGGGAGCAGCAAGTACAGTCCTTAGCATTTATCCCAGAGAAATGAAGACTTGCATTCACACAGAAACCTATACAAGAATGTTGATAGTAGCTTTATTTGTAACAGCCAAAAGCTAGAAATAACCGGAATACCCTTCAAAGAGTGAATAGTTAAGCAAACTAGGGTACAATCAGACCATCAAATACTATTCAGCAATAAAAGGAACACACTGGATAAATTCAACAACCTGGATACATCTCCAGAGATTTATGCTAAGTGAAAAACGCCATTTATAAAGGTTACATACTGTAGGACTCCATTTATATAACATTCTTGAAATGAGAATATAATAGAAATGGAAATCAGATTAGTGGTTGCCTAGGGTTTAGGAAGGGGTAAGGGTGGGAGGGAAGCGGGTGAAGTTATAAAAGAACAGGAGAGGTCCTTGTGGTGACAGAAATGCCCTCTCTTTTTTTTTTTTCTCATTGGTGTCACTCAGGCTGGAATGCTGTGGCGCGAACACAGTGAACTGCAGTGTCCATCTCTGGGCTCAAGCAATCCTCCCATCTTAACCTTCCAAGTAGCTAGGATTACAGATGTGTACCACCATGCCTGGCTAACTTTTTACTTTTAATTTTTAGTAGAGATGAAGTCTCTCTATGTTGCCGGGCTGGTCTCAAACTTCTGAGTTCAAGTGATCCTTCTGCCTCAGCCTCCCAAAGTGTTGGGGTTACAGGTGTGGGCTACCAGCCAGGCCTGAAAATGTTCTGTATCTTGACTACGTTCATGTCAATATCCTGGTTATGATACTGCACTATGGTTTTGCCAGATGTGACCACTGGAGGAAACTGAGTAAAGGGTATCATTTCTTCAACTGCATGTGAATCTGCACATATCTCGAGATAGGATTTTATTCAAACGAATGTAGAGGCGCTCACTTTCAGGTGTGCGATGGTAGGATCAGCACCGGAGAATGAGTCCTTCCCTAAGTGTTAACCCTAAGTTCCTTGCCTGTCTCACTCCAATCCTAGCTTTGCCTGGGAATGACGGCTTCTTAGACCCACTTATCGAGATTCTAGAACCAGAGGAAAAAAGTTTGATCGTGGAGGGGAGGGGGGCAGGAATCATCTCGATGCTCCACCACCACCCACCTCCCAACTACCCCAGGCCAAGTATCTTGCACTGTGAAAGCTTGGTTGTATGGACGATTCTGAGTAAGGAAGCATGGGTGGGACGATCCCCCGCATTCAAGGGAAAACCAGCTGCATTCCACAGAGACAGGGTTTTAAAGGGGAGAGGGACTTTCAAGATCACCTGATTTTATGTGGGGAAACTAAGGCCCAGGAAGAGAGGCTACTCTCCCAAGGCTATATTCCTCCCTGGAATTCTCACCACAGCATGTCCTCCTCCTGAGCAGGAAGCACGTTAGAATGAAAGGCAAACACGGCGACATTCCTGCCTTCTAGGTAATTCCCAGCAATGAATATCGCCAGGGACACTGGACTTGAGGCCCCAGGACAAGGGGAAGAATCAAGTCACAGAAGGCAAGAAAAAACTGGCAAGGATGAATTTAGAGTACAGTGTCAGCCCTGCCACACCCTCCTGCCTCTAGCCTGGTCTGGACCAGCCGCCCTCCTAGGAGAGCAGCTGCCTACACCCCGTAAGAAAGAAGAGAGGGGCCTCGGCCCTCCCAAAGGCCACTCCAAGGTGCACCTCACCAGAAACCCCTGGGTACCTCCTCTCCTGCTGCCACCATCCATTCCCCTGGAGGTATCACACACATACTAACTCATTTTCTTTGCATTTTTTCCTAAGACAAGCCTCTGCCATTGGCCATAAGAAAGAAAATCATCCAATGTGAGCTGCACTCAAGGAAGCCAAGGGTCTCCCCGCAGTCAGTGCTCCCTCCTCCCCAGGAGGGGCACCTCCAGGCACAGGTGGGGAAGCCAGCCCAATCACGTGGCTCAATGTCTCATTCTGATTGGTCAGGGCTACGATGCGCTAATCGTCAACTATTTTGACTATGACCCTAAGACACTCTCCAGACCCACATGGAGCGCGAAGAAGTCTCATGAAAGTAGCAGCGGCTCACCTCCCCTGGCTATATTCAAAACGGTACGCTAAGGCTCATTTCATGTTCCCTTCTCTACATAACTACCCCTGTCAGAGAAGTCGGAGAAAAACATACTGACTCATTACCCCAAGGACCCAAATCACAATACAGACCCACAGCACAGACTAAAAATACAAAAATTAGCTAGGCGTGGTAGTGCACGCCTGTAGTCCCAGCTGCTCCGGAGGCTGAGGCAGGAGAATCACTTGAACCCGGGAGACCTAATGAAACAAAATAAAAAATCTCAAGACTCAAAGAGACCATCAAAATTTCTCTCAAAAGCATTTAGCTGAGCAGAGTTTACTGAAAGAGCCTGTTTACCGAGGCATGGGAGGGACCGTGGGAATCCACAAGCGATGTGAAAACACTCAGGACTCTGCAATGGTGGGAAGACACCACCACGCCGAGTCCCGAAGGGCAAAGAGAAGAGAGAAGCAGAAGGGTCACAGGATCCCAGCGAGAACCGGAGCTGAGAGCGAGGGGGACTGTAAGGTCGCAGCCACTGCCAGAGGGAGGCAGAGCCCAGGCAGGGGGACACTGTAACCTCCCTCTCCTCCCACCCACCAGTCTCCCCCAGGGCCTCCCATTGGCCAAACCCAACCCAAAGGCAGAAAGCAAGGAAGCCCGCTCAAGAGTGAGCCTCTCCAAGGCATACAGCAGGGCAAGGAAGGGCAACAGACTGGGCACAGTGGCTCACATCTATAATCCCAGCCCTTTGGGAGGCCAGGAAGGGCAGATCACAAGGTCAGGAGTTCGAGACCAGCCTGGCCAACATAGTAAAACCCCATCTCTACTAAAAATACAAAAATTAGCCAGGCATGGTGGTGCACACTTGTAGTCCCAGCTACTAGGGAGGCTGAGGCAAGAGAATCGCTTGAACCCAGGAGGCGGAGCTTGTGGTGAGCAGAGTTCAGGCCACTGCACTCCAGTCTGGGTGACACAGCGAGACCCCATCTCAAAAAAAAACAAAAGGAAGGGCAACAAACGGCAGGTGCCAGGGAGCAAGTGGCAATCAGAAAGACCCAAAGAGATGGAGGGCCCCTCTCACACACAGCCACTCATACACCACGGCCAAACCCCAGGCCCAACACAGAGGTGGGACTCAGTACACACCTACCATATCTCTGCCCTCTAGACTGTATTCTCCCATCCCCCTCAGCACAGGCTAGGTGCATCCTGGGGCAGGTAGAGGGGGTGACTGGCCGCAAAAGGGGAGCTAGGGTGCCCTCCCTGGCCCTGTCATAGGCCTCTAGGAAAGAGAAGATAAAGGAGGCTTCTCCTCCTAGCATGACCAAACCCTCACCCTGCAGAGTCCTAGAGCCAGGCTGGGCTGGCCCCTCAGTCTGCCAGGAGTCCAGTCGTGAAGGTAATTATATTTATTTTCCTCCTCTTGGCACAGAGCCCCCCAGTAACACAAGAATGTGCTTCCTTCCACCCCCACCGCCAGCCCTTTGCCTGGCCTCTGTCTGCACACACGGCATCCCCACGTCAGGGCCCATCCCCAGAGGCTTGCTGGCAGACGTCCTGAGGTGGCAGCCAGCACAGAGTCCCCACTGCTGGGGACTTCCTGCCAGGGCCTCCTCCCAACCACATAGGAGCACCAGCAGTTGGGACTCAGGTTGAAGGCTCCGGCAGTTTACCTTAAGCCATGGACCACAGAAGGTATCCAAAGGGAGAAAGAGCTGCGGGGTGCGGGCAGGGGAGGCAGGGAGAGCCAAACTGTGTGAATAGGGTGGTCCCCTCGTGCCCCTCCCGGGCTTCTAGTTCTGCAGATCTTCAACGGAGGGCCAAGAAGCTGTTTGGTGATATCGGGAAATTGTAGACAAAGGGCAGGCAGAAAGAAGACGCCACAGGAGGTGAGGCCTGCAAAGCCCCATGCTGGGGAGCCCCAGCTAACTGAGACCTGAAACCGAAAATCAAATCTGCCACCTCATCCTCTCCTGCTCTCTCTGACCCCTTCTTGTGAATAAAATAAATGAAATCAGCCAACTAGATACTTAAGATCAGAGCTCACTGAAGCTGAAAGGGATGCCAGAGATGAGGCCAACCCTTCAATTTATGGATGAAGAGACCCTGAGAGGAGAAGCAATGTGTCCAAGGTCACACAGAAAGATGGTGGCAGCACCAGGGCTGGCACTCCTCAAGTGTCCAAATACTGAGCACCTACTAAGTGCTAGGGATTCTTCCAGATGGTAAGGGCACAGCAGTGAACAACAGACACAATGTCTGCCCTCGTGGAGCTGACAGTCTCCAACAGAACTTTTCATCAGATATCGATATAGGCACTCCTGCTTCATGCTGATTACTGTTTGCATGATAATCCTTTTCCATCCAGGAACTGCATTTTTATTTTATTTTATTTTATTGGGTAGAGACGGGGATCTCGCCATGTTGCCTAGGCTGGTCTTGAACTCCTGGCTTCAAACAATCCTCCCACCTTGGCCTCCCAAAGCACTGGGATTACAGGTGCAAGCCACCATACCCAGCCTTGAATTTTTTTTATTTATTTTTAATTAATTTTAATTTAAATAACCACATGTGGCCAATAGCTACAACATCTGTGCCATTTCAGAGGATTCAGCTCTACAAGCTCTCCCCACCCTGCCAGGAGCTAAGCAGACCAGCGCCTCCACCCAGGGCAACAATACCAAGTGACTACCCCACCAAACTTTCAGAGGCCCCAAGATGGCTCCCTGACCAGAGAAACATACCCCTTTTGATAAAGGTGAGGAAATGCTGCAACCCTTCTCCTCTCCCTGAGACCTCAGAAGTAGTTACATATGCCTGGGGAGCAAAGGAGACTGAGAACGAGCCGGCCACTTCCGAGGACAAACTCCATCCCTGTCCTTGCTGCAGGCGGCTTCCTGCTCCCAGCCTGCCCCCTCCCAGTTCTGGTCCTCACGCTGTAGGGAAATGACTCTCCCAATGTGTTCTGGGAGGTCTTGGGCAGGGGGCAAGCCCTTGCTTTCCTCTGTTGGCCAAGGCCTGTACAGCAGCAGCTGGAATGACAGACACAGCAGAAGAAAAAGGGGCAGGCCTCCGGGAGGGGAGAAGTGGTGGTTTGATTAATTGAGATTATTATAGGTAGAGCCGGCCAGGTGGGATCCATCACTGCCAAGAACTGTTAGGCAGAGCCACCTCCTCTCTCCTGGGAGCGCCCACACACCCTCCTTCTCATTGCATCATCTTGTGCGTGTGTATTTGCCATCTTACCCTGAGAACGGCCTCTCCTCAAAGGAACTCGGGATGCTGCGGGCATCCTTGCCACATACAGGGCACAGGCTGCCCCCTTCTCCTGCAATAACACCGCATCCAAGGCCCAGTTCAGAGCTGGGGAGAAGGAGTGTGTGTGGAAAGAAGACGGCAGGGGTAGGGGGAGGGGAGGGAGGGGAGGGGAGGGGAAGGGAGGGAGGGGAGGGGAAAGGAGAGGAGAGGAAGGGAGGGGTACAGAGAAGGAAAAAGAAAAGGATTGGTACCCTGGGTCAGCAATGGTCCTGCATGGCAAGGGCTGAGGAGCAGGAGGGAGGCAGAAGCATATGGAATGCACAGGGAGAAGGGTCCTGGTGTCCTCTTTACCATTAACCTGTCATCTGGAGCCTAACGCCTCCTCCCACACGCTCATACATGTTCTCAGCAGCCTCTGCATTCAGACCACAAAGCTTAACCTGAGTTCTAGTCTCAGTACATTTCACTCTTTATCTCCTGGGCTCCTGACAGTATCCCAGAAGCTTTACCTTCCCTCAGCCATCGCTTTGTATCTTTGCACTGGTCTCTTAGACCTGAGCTTAGGGGGCACTAGAGCTGTGAGCGCAATGCAAAGAGTGGGGAAGAGAGGAGGACAAAGCACAGAGAGTGGAAATGCCCCCAGAGGGACCACCTGAGCCCTGGGAGCCTCCACATTGCACAGAGCACACCTCCACTTTAATTTACACACCTTATTTCATTTTCTTACCAAATACACTGTCACAATAATCCAGGAGCTGATTCAATTCAGGCAGAGCTGCATAGATGACATCAGAAAATGACTGATAGTCTTGATGCGGAAATTGCACTTATCATACAGACAAAGTGTGAAGACATACACTCAGGATCAAGGTTCTGTCTGTACCAGAGTATACAACTGACCTAGACCTCCCCACCCCCAAAAATGAGGCATCAGCGCAGGTTCGAGACAAGACTGGAACAGGAGAGTCAGCAGAGTCGGGGGCCAGGAAGACCGATGGTTTGGGATAAACAGTTCAGTGAACATTGGGAGGAGATGCTCTCCAGACACCAGGCCACAGCCTCCATCTCCACTGGCAGGAGGGAGAGAGGGCTGCACCCTGAGAGGACCTAAGAATGGCTCCACATTGGAAATTCATGGCAAATTGCTCCTATAATTTACTGGTCCGGCTGGAGAAATGCATCTTTGAATTTCAGCGAGAGACTTTGAAAATCTTTCTCAACCGAGGCTCTCCAACCCAACTGAGATGAATTAAAGGGAATTATGCACATAAACCCCACAGATCAAGGGGACACCCACTCTCCTTCAACTGCCTGCAAGGTGATTAGACAGAGTTCATAGCAGAACAGGCGCTCAGGCTGGAAAAATAAAAGAAGATAAATTTGAAATGCAGAGATTGATGGCTTCTGTCACAAAGTCTCTCCAAAGCCACAGTCTTTAAATTGAAATTCCCATTGATGCTGAGGCAAAAGTGGTAGCTCAATGACAGCTGTTGGCCTGGAGGTGTCTTTGGGGGAAAGATTCCAGACCCCCTTATACACAGTGTCCAAGCTTGGGGGAGTACAGCCATCATGTAGGGGGATCTACATCCCAGGGAAACGGCTGTAGTTCTAAGGTATACCCTATCGTTGCCCCAAGCCGGAGACACTGAGGCACAGAACTGCAGAAGAGTCAGGTCACACCCAAACTCCCTGTACCCAGAGACCTTCCTAATCTGGGCCCTGGACCTCTCACAGTAGTACTGTGCCCAGTACCCTGCACACAGCTGGTACTCAGCCATGTTTGTGGAAGATAAGATGATTTCTGCCTCCCAGGGCCCTGCTGAGCAACTCACCCCAAGCTCCTCCTTCTCTGGCATAGCACAGGTCCCAGGCAAACCGAAAAAGGGAAGCAGCAGAGAGGCGTCCAGGTGCTGCTCAGACTGTGGTCCAGCCTGGAAGTAGCTGACAGTCAGAAGTACAGAAATCTGGGCTAGATTTCCTAACCCAGAAACAGACGTATCTCCTTTCGAGAGAAAGGAGGAGGAGGGATGTGTTGTTGAAGGGTACAGGTACAGGATGCTGCCCCGGTCCCCCTTCAGGACAGAGGCACTCATTCCCAAGTCACTCTCTAGAATTATGTCTAGCCAGAGACAGCCACTTGGCTCAAGGATACACCCAAACCTGAGGGCGGCCACCTCCAATGCCTGATTAGTTGGCTAAATGGAAGGTGCTTTCAAAGGCCTGGCCCTCTTGCCTTGAGGGACAGCAATTCTTCAGGACCACCTGCTGAGCACCCCATGGGTCTAGCTGAGGCCTTTGCTGCGACTGCACTCCGGCTCAGCTTCCCTTTCTGCCCCTTTTGTCTCCCTCACTTCCTCCAGGTGTTGATCCCAAGGGCACTCCCTAAAAATCTTGCTGCATGAAATCTCCACCTCAAAATCTATTTCTCAGGGAACCCAACCTAAGTCATGTCTAGAACAAGACAGGCAATTATGAGCTATCCACAGAAGGTGCCCCCCACCCCCCGCCGAGAGCAGATGGTCCAACTCTGTCCTTTCACCGATAAGGAGCCTGAGGCCCAGAGAGGGAAAGTGGCTAAGAGAGAGGGTCCGCCTGCTTCCTCTCACACAGACCAGGCTTAGCAGGAAGATGAGTGTGGAGATGGGCCCCTTTGGAAGTGGTGTTTAACCAACATCTGCTTCACAAAAGGACAGCTATGCAGGTGAGGCTCGTGATGAAAACTGACTCCCCATGCCTCCCAGGTACAGAATTTGTTATCTGAGGTTAAAAAGACCATCTGTGGCCAGGTGCGGTGGCTCAAGCCTGTAATCCCAGCACTTTGGGAGGCCAAGGCAGGTGGATCATGAGGTCAACATATGGAGACCATCCTGGTCAACATGGTGAAACCCCGTCTCTACTAAAAATACAAAAAATTAGCTGGGCGTGGTGGCGCGTGCCTGTAATCCCAGCTACTCAGGAGGCTGAGGCAGGAGAATTGCCTGAACCCAGGAGGCGGAGGTTGCGGTGAGCCGAGATCGCGCCATTGCACTCCAGCCTGGGTAACAAGAGCAAAACTCCGTCTCAAAAAAAAAAAAACCCATCTGTATCCCCACTAAAGTGTGGGACTTCCTTTGCAGATGTGGCCAACATGCAAATATGTGTTCACATCTTCCAGGGCAGAGGTACCTGGCTAGGGAATTACTGCCAGCCAGGAAAGGGAGTTTTCATGGCTAAAGGAAAGGCAGGCCCTGATGTCATGGGTACTACAGAATTTGAGGTGACATGAGACCGCTAGTCTCTTCTCATCTCTCACGTCAGACCCAAGGGGACCCAGAGAAGGGAAGAGACTTGCCTCTGTCCACCCAGCCAGTCCCTGGCAGAGCTGCCTCTAGAACTCGGGCCTCTGGACTCCACACTTTCCCGGGAACCTTCCAGAAAGCTGAGTCCCCAAGCATCCCTCCCCAGAGAGAGACTTGGGCCTCAGATGAGTAATGGAAGAGGGTCAGGGCCCTGTCCCTATTCACCCAGCGTCTCTGTTATTTTGTGGGAAATTTGGTGCCCTGAAGCCAATAACTTGCTGGGTGATCTCTCGGCAGCTCTTGGCACATCTCCCCGGCCTCCTTCTCAGAACAGGGCGTGGGTGCTGCCATTTTACAAGATTTATTGGGAGCCTCTTTCTTTCAATGAAGGAAAGAGATACTTTCATTGGCTTCAGCTGGGTTGTTACACCTACATGTTACATATACATGTGTCACAATCACCTATATGTCCCCCAAATTTAAAAATGTGGGAAAATCATCCAGCATTTATATTGATGTGGTTTAATCCCTAGGGGAAGAAAGGAACAAAATGAAAGCTAACTGATGAGTTGCCATTTTAAGACACTCGGTTCAATTAAGCTAAAAGCCTGCTCCCGGGGCCACAGCGATGGTCCCCGAACGCTGCCAACACACCCTCATGCCAAGGCAGGGCTCACGGGCCCATGGCCAGGGATCCCCAGCAAGCGTCATCATGCTCAAAAAGTCAAAGAAGAGACCCTGCAATCTGCCCCCGAACCTGATTTTCCCATTAGGACCCCCTCCTCGGATTCAGGCGTGATCCCTGTGGCACCCCGCCAATCAAACCCTCCCCGCTCCAGGGAGTCTCGTTCAGAGCTGCAGGCACTGAGCGAGGTGAAGATTCCACTGCCAAAATGTTTTTCGTTGTTTGCCTGCCTGTCTGCTTGCTTCATAAAAGGTGGCCCCTTGGGAACAGATGAAAACAAAACAAAACAGAAAAGGTGGTCCCTAGTGGGAAGCCAGGGCCTGTTTTGCCACTAACCAGCCTGTTTTCAATTTTCTCATCTTTTTTTTTTTTTTTTTTTTTTTTCTTTTTCTGAGACGGAGCCTCACTCTGTTGCCCAGGCTGGAGTAAGTGTTGCGATCTCGGCTCACTACAACCTCTGCCTTCTGAGTTCAAGCGATTCTCCTGCCTCAGCCTCCCGAGTAGCTGGGACTACAGGCGCATGTCACCACACCTGGCTAATTTTTTGTCTTTTTAGTAGAGACCGGTTTCACTGTGTTAGCCCAGGATAGTCTTGATCTCCTGACCTCATGATCTGCCCGCCTTGGCCTCCCAAAGTGCTGGGATTACAGGCGTTAGCCACGGCACCCAGCCTTCTCATCTTTAAAATAAGAACATACTTGGACCATGGAAACCTGGATGTTAGCCCCCATCTATTGATGGCTTGCAGTGTGACCTCAAACCAGTCCCTCATCTTCCCTGGGTGTCAGATTCCTTAGCAGTAAAATCAGCCTGAAGTGCCTGTTTACCCCACCATACTGAAGATTTAAAATGTTGGGAGCCAGCCGGGCATGGTGGCTCACACCTTTAATCCCAGCACTATGGGAGACTGAGGCAGGTGGATCACGAGGTCAGGAGTTCAAGACCAGCCTGACCAACGTGGTGAAACCCTGTCTCTACTAAAAATACAAAAATTAGCCGGGCGTGGTAGCGCCTGCCTGTAATTCCAGCTACTCAGGAGACTGGATAATCACTTGAACTGGGAGGCAGAGGTTGCAGTGAGCTGAGATTGCGCCATTACACTCCAGCCTGGGTGACAGAGCAAAACTCTGTCGCAAAAAAATAAATGTTGGGAGAGAAAAGATAGCCTTTTCAATAAATGGAATCAGTACAACTAGATATCCACAGACAAAAAAAAAATGAACCTTAACCTCCACCTTATCTACATATATAGATAGAGACATAGACATGTCTATAGAGAGAGATGTAATATTTATATATAAAAATGGATGGGACAGGCGCGGTGGCTCATGCCTGTAATACCAGCACTTAGGGAGGCCGAGGCGGGCGGATCATGAAGTCAAGAGATTGAGACCATCCTGGCCAACATGGTGAAACCCATCTCTACTAAAAATACCAAAATTAGCTGGGTGTAGTGGTGCACGCCTGCAGTCCCAGCTACTCAGGAGGATGAGGCAGGAAAATTGCTTGAACCCAGGAGGCGGAGGTTGCAGTGAGCAGAGATCGCGCCACTGCACTCCAGCCTGGCGCCTGGCAATGGAATGAGACTCTGTCTCAAAAAAAAAAAAAAAAAAAAAGGACGGTCTTAAATGTAACATGTAAAACCTTCTAGAAGAAAACATAGGAGAATATCTCCTACGGCAAAGAGTTCTTAGACATGACACCAAAAGCACGATCCATAAAAGAAAGGATCAATAAATTAGACCTCATGAAAATTAAGTGCTCTGCAAAAGACACTGCTAAGACAATGAGAAGACACTCTACAGAGTGGGAGAAAACATCCGCACATCACATCTCCAACAAAGGACTTAAATCCAGCTGCATAAAGATCTCTCTAAACTCTACAGGAAGAAGTCAAAAAGTCAATTTTAAAAACGAGTGAAACACCTGAACTGACACTTCACCAAAGAAGAGATACAGATGGCAAATAAGCACATGAAAAAAATGCTCAGCATCATCAGCCATTAGGGAAATGCAAATGAAAACCTCAATGAGATCTCACGCAGAATCTCATATCAGCATAGCTAAAGTACAAATGCTACCACACGCACTGCTGGGAAGGTTGTGGAGAAACTGGATCACTCATACGTTGCTGATGGGAATTTGAAATGGTAGAGCCACTCTGGAAAACATGTTGGCAGCTTCTTAAAAAATTAAATGTGCTTGGCAAGTGGTACTGGTGTTTGCAAAAAACAAAAATGGGCCGGGTGCGGTGGCTCACACCTGTAATCGCAGCACTTTGGGAGTCCGAGGCAGGAATTCGAAACCAGCCTGACCAACATGGAGAAACCCCATCTCTACTAAAAATACAAAAAATTAGCCAGGTGACGCGTGCCTGTAATCCCAGCTACTTGGGAGGCTGAGGCAGGAGAATTGCTTGAACCCGGGAGGC